CGACAATTTGACTGGATCTGGGATTAATTGAAAGGAGAGAAATCTTCTTGATTGGATCATCTGAAGCTGGAAGACACACCCTTAATGTGGGTGTTACCTTCTGATGTCACCCATATAAAAGACCATGGCAGAGGAAAGTGCTTGCTTTTTGCCACTTGCCATCTCTCTCACTGACAAGTTCGTCTTACTGCTGTAGACTGAAGACTAGCTGATCTTTGCTGCCAGGGATTCAAACCAGCGACCCCTGGGCAGTTATGATTGGGGATGAATAAGCAACCCATATAAAAGACCATGGCAGAGGAAAGTGCTTGCTTTTTGCCACTTGCCGTCTCACTGACAAGTTCGTTTTACTGCTGTAGACTGAAGACTAGCTGATCTTTGCTGCCAGGGAGTCAAACCAGCGACCCCTGGGCAGTTATGATTGGGGATGAATAAGCGCGCTGTTCACCAGCTCATGCCATCCCCAGTACCGGGGACACTCAGACGCAGTGGGGAGTCTAGTCATGCAGAGACTCATTTATTGCAGGTGTTATAAAGCTTATAAAGGTACCTGGAAATACTCCCGCCCCCGAGGGTGTATCTTAAGGATGGTCACATGCTGATCATGAACTCTGCAGCAGTGCGGAAGTATTTTTCAGACTTTCAAAGCAAGCCAGGCCACGCCCCCAGTAACTTCCTTTCGGACATCTGCAAGGTGGGACCTTTAGGTCCCCACATTTTACATATGTACATGCCCTTGCAGAACAATGCGGGGGGGGGCACACCATTTAGCCCTGATTCATCAGAAAAGTCTTTCCTAGCCAGTGGCAGCTGAAGACCTGATGAGATTTCAAAAAGCGCTGCCTCAGACACCATGATGTGAGTGGGTAGTAGACTGCTTCAGAATTCCAGGTGTGTCTTACACACACGAGAGTACCAACTTCACACCCTGATATGGTGGGGGTGGACCTGCTGTAATTACAAAGACAATCTTGTTGTCAACAGGAAGCTGCATTAATGTCAGCAAGCAGAATTTCTCATTCTTCCCTCTTCATAGATCCAAGTTCAATTGTGGTTGAAATTCTGAGAAAGGTTGCTCCTTCAAACTTCCCCAAATCACCTCTCTTTTATACTTTGTTCTACTGACTCTTCCTTAAACAATAGGTAGAATTTTGAATATCACACCTAAAATCTATCCAAGGTAATGTGGTTATATTTTTACTTATACTTTATTGAATTTTTGTACAATTCATATAATAGGTATTAAGCATATTTGGACCCTCTTACCACAGTTTCTTCATACAACAGAGTGCAATGCACACAGAAGGTTACAGCTTGCCAAAGTGTAGAGAGTAAGAGACTGCAGAGAGCATGTCCCAGAATAGGGAACCTGTGTTAATTCTCACCCAACCATGGAGCCATTGCAGAAGATGGGGCAGAAAGATTGTAAGAGCCAGGGTTGATGCATCAAAATAAGGAAACAGAGGTCCTCAAACCTCTGGGAACTTGCTCATATGAACTTGCAACAATGATTTATCACTGATAAATTGCCAGTGTTTCAATAAATAAGCTCCTACTCATGCTAATGCAGGCACACCTTGATGGGCAAAATTAATATAGTGAAAATGGGTACATTACTAATAGTCATCCATAGATTCAACCAAATTATAATCTAAATTGCAAAGACATTCTCCACAGTATATAAGATATTCTAATTTTTTAATTTTAATAACTTTATTTCTATTCTAAATTTGATTCCAGATACCTGATTCCTGGGCTGGAAATTACTAGGAGTTGCTGGCTGGGTGAGGGATAATCACATTTCTTTTGGGGAGTGACCAATAGTAGGTCCCCCATTTCCCAGGAGATACCCTGTATCAATGCACATATCAAAGAACTAACTGAATTCAGTGGGAAATAAATGAATAAATAAATGAATAATAAAATTAAGAGGGAGATGTGATAGTAGAGTCCTTGAGGGAGTTGAAGGAGTGGATCTAGATGGATACATGTTCAAGATATGTTGCAAACAAGTATGAAATTTTCAAAGAATGAATAAAAATATTATTTTGGCATCTCCTAACCCAATGAACAGAGTCTCCTAATCCCCATATACCCAGGAAGCAGAAAGCAGAAAACTACCTCATGGTGTATGTGTTACTTGTATATATGTGTGTGTGTGTGTGTGTATACATATATATGTATATATTGCCTGCTGTGTGTAGTATTCCTTTCTTTCTAACTACCAAAGTTTGTCACTATATGTCAACATAATTTATTTTTACATTTCTTTAAGTGATTTAAGTTGTGTTTACTGCCTTACTTCATATATAGTTGAAATTTAGGTTTTAGAGAGCAAGAAAGAAAGTGAAATCAGGAGACAGACCAGTACCAGACCTTCAATAGATAGGATTGTGTTTATTCAGCACAGCGAGGGGAGCAACCTTCTGGTGGGATGGAAGCTAGTGTAAAGAGAGAGTGAAATGATCAGAGATTATATGGGATACAGCTGTGGTGGGTTACATGCAAGTCAGGGCAATCTTGAGAAATTTATGGTCTCCTCTTCCTGGGACCATTTGCTCAAGATTATCTTGAGAAACAGGCCCAAGGTATGGCTCTATCTCAGGGAACTTCTGTTTTCTATCAGTTGGCACCATAGCATTCAAATTACCATTCCTTGGGGAAGGAAAAATTAGAAGACCTTATTTATCATGACAGTAATATCTACATACTATTAATTCAATTTAAAGGACTTGAGACAACCATAACACAATGCCAGCATAGTTTGATTACCGAAATAGAAGCGGATCATTATGAGTCCTTTTTGTTATATTTTCCCTGGTGGTCCTAATGAAAATATCAGGTAGTTTTGGAAAGTGAAAAATGAAGCCTAAGAAGCTTTCCTGTAAAATTTCTTCCATCATATCATTCCTTCCATAAGTGCAGACCAAAGCTCTTTATTCTTGGATGAAGAACAAAAAGGAAAATAAAGTAGGAAATGAGTGGTATGTAATCAGTTCTGTGTGCCTAAAATCCTGTGGTAACATCTTAATTTCTAATTCCTGGAGTTGTAACAGAATTTGGTGATGGTTCACTTAATAGATAATCTAGCTAATATGAGATCATTTGGGTGATCTTTAATAGGGCAGGCTCTCATGTGAGTTTTTTCTAGGGAAACAGCCAACATACACACATGCAGACACAAATGCTCACATATACACACAGACACAGACAGCAGACAGACAGACACACACACACACACACACACACACATACACACATACACACACACATTCTCTCATCCCAGATAGGAATTCCACAACAGAACAAAGTAAATAGTCTACCAATGTGTAACTTGGTGAACCAATGAAATTTTATTATGGTTACTGATAGGAGTTTGGATGAGGGGTTAGTTACAGGAGGGATGACTTTATTGCAGTGGCCTCATATTTTAAGCCTTTTTGACAACCTCAACATAGTGGACAGTGCCTAAAATTCTCAACTCTGGAGCTCTCTATATGACTTGCAGTCCACAGGACAGGTCTGAGAAACTCATCTCTGCAACTTTGCTATTCAGATTCCCTGCCCCACCCATCACACACACCATGGTTGTTTGCTGCTTCTATAACCAGAGAGGGTCCCTCATTAATCATGTAAATTTCAGCTTTCTCGGATATGAGAAGTTTGCTTAGTTCCTGGGTGTCATGAGCTTAACCACTCCTTCCATGAGAGAATGTTTCAATTCAGAAAATTTTGTTATACAAAATAGGTGTCCTCATAAGAAGTGATTAGGCAGAAAGTAGACCCCATGCAGATAAGGTGAGACTATAACTGGAGAGATAAGCAAAGAAGAGAAATCTTGTAATCAGATCCCCTGCTTACAGAACTGTGATAGGGTAAGTTTCAGATATTAAGCCTGTGGAACTTTCCTATGACAAATTTGAGAAATTATAAACTTAGCAGAACTGGCCAGCTTAAGCATTATTGCTTTGTTCCTGATCTTAAGAAAGCAACTTTGAGCTGGGAGTGTGTGGTCGCTAGCTGTGGCTGTTCTCCTCTGGCTATGGTCTCTCTCCTGCACTCTCAGTTCCTCCGATCAGTTGTCCAGTCCAGCCCCCAGGGCTGGTGAGGCGTCTGTGCCAGCGTTGCTGCATTCAGACACAGGAGACCAGGTTCAGTGACACAGATCTGCTTTACTGCAGGAAAGTATGGGCTTATATAAGGGTAATAGTCCAATCATGACACAGCATATGGGATCCCTTATTAGCATGGCAGACTAGTATCCTATTACAATCTAGTGGGGCAGATACCCTATCAACATGATAAGTTTCAGTTTCTCTAAGTTTTGGATTCCTGGAAACCATGTGACTTACATAGTTTTCTCTAAGAAACAGGAAGCACTGCATTCCAGCATGATAGGTATGTAAGGCAAAAGGCAAAATCAGTCACAAGATTTTCCATAACAGAGTATCAGACAGAATTTTCTGTGACAATCTGAGAGCCAGTGATCACCTATCTGAGAAGAGCCCTCCAGGAAGAGGAGCCCAGTGGAGGAAAATAGATTAATCTTATTGTGCTGGTTGTTTGTCAACTTGACAGAAACTACACTCACCTGGGATAAGGGACTGCAATTGAGGAATTTCCTCCATCAGACTGGCCTGTGGGGTATTTTCTTGATCACTGATTCACATAGGAGGGCCTCGCCCACTGGGGATGTTGTGATCCCTAGACAGCTGGGCCAGAACAGTATAAGAAAGGTATCTGAGCAGGACAGGGGAAGCAAACCGGTAAGCAGAGATCCTCCATTTCTGCTCAGGTTGCTGCCCTGGGTTAACCCTATTACCTATTAGCATGATAAGTTTCAGTTTCTCTAAGTTTTGGATTCCTGGAAACCATGTGACTTACATAGTTTTCTCTCTGATAAGAAACAGGAAGCACTGCATTCCAGCATGATAGGTATGTAAGGCAAAAGGCAAAATCATTCACAAGATTTTCCACAACAAGAGTGGTAGTGCTTGCCTTTAATCTCAGCATGATGAAGGCAAAGTCCTGCATATCTCTGTAAGATCAAGGCTAGGCTGATCTACAACAGAGTTCCAGGGTCAGCTGGGACTATATGGAGACCCTGTCTCAAAAAAGACAAAAAAAGCAGCTTTAGGGGCTGGAGAGGTGGCTCTGTGGGTAAGACTGGCTATTCTTTTAGAAGACCCCTGTTTGGTTCCTAGCATCCACATGATGGCTAATAATGTTCTATAACTCCAGTTCCAGAGGATTCCACACCCTTTTCTGGCATACTCAGGCATTGAAAATGAGTGCACTTCCATACATTCAGGCAAAACACTCAAATACATGAAATAAAATGAAGTAAATAAATCAGAACAAATTTTAAAGATTAGCTACATTGCCTAAATTGATAAGATTAATTACATTATTCATTTCTCTCTATGGGATGAAATTTTATACCTAAAATATAAATCAATCTTCCTGAATCCAATTATAAAATACATTTTTGTAGTTTAAAAGCAACAAAGGAAATCACTACAGAAATTAGTTCTATGTGTTTTTAGAATTCATGGTCAATAATTTAGATAATCAGAAACAGTCATTAGATTGCAATAATGAAAACATTGCCTTTACGGGTTGGTGAGAAAATTGGCAAAGCTAAATTATTTTCTTCTACAGATTTGGGCATTAAGGATATGCACACATGGGATCACAGTGATGATGTAATAGCTCATGTAATTAGAAGCCTTGGATATTGAGCCTCAGGGACACATAGACTGTAGTAGTCAACCTGTAATCATTTTAATTATGTGTTACACGGGTCAGGAAAGATCACCAAAGCCTTCTCTTACAGACTATTCTTCTTGACCATGAGCTAGTTGATTCTGTGATTTTATGAGATCTTCCCTAAGACACATCTGCCTTCACCTATGTCCGGGTAAGATATTTGAACCCTCTTGATTCTAAGCAGAAAACCAAAGTTCTTTTGTAAGTGCATTGGAATTTATCACAACTATATCACCAGGATTTCACTTTGGTTATTAGAGAGGAGTCCATGAAAAAACTAACAAGAAAACAGTATGAGAAAAGAATATTTTAAAAATGTATCGCCACAGTCTAATATTAATCTGATACATGTTTATGCACATGTGCACTAATATTGATCAGCATCCATTATGGTGGTCCCAAGAACAGTTCCAGTTTCTGGCAGAGCAGAAACCAGGTCATAACATAACTGCTACCAACTCTTAACATAACTGCTACCAACTCACAACATAACTGCTACCAACTCTTCCAGAATGTACTAGAATTATTGTTCATAAGTTGAGAAAGGCAATTTATCCAATTATTAGTTTCCAGGGCTTCTCTAAACAAGTGTTAGAAAACTAGGTATATTAACGGGAGGAATTTATTTACTTACAGCTCTGGGGTCTAGAATTCAGAGAATAATAATATGAATCTGATGGTATGTAAGTCTTACATTTTAAAAACCTCCTTTCTTCAGATTCTTCAGAATGGGAGTTTTGAACCAAACATATCACTCAGAATTTTTTCTTCTGGGACTTAGTGATGATCCAGCTCTACAGTCTTTCATCTTCAGCCTCTTCCTGTCCATATACCTGGTCACCATCCTAGGAAACTGCCTCATCATTCTGGCTGTGAGATCTGACTCCCAACTCCACAAACCCATGTACTTCTTTCTTTCCAACTTATCCTTTAATGATATGTGTTTAATCACAACCACAATCCCAAAGATGCTGATCAATATCCAAACACAGGATCCAAGAATTGCTTACACAGGCTGTCTTTCTCAGGTCTGCCTTGTGCTAAATTTTGCTGGTATAGAAAATTGTCTCCTTACAGTGATGGCCTATGATCGCTATGTGGCCATCTGTCACCCTCTGAATTACACAGTTATTATGAATCATCAATTTTGTGTAAAGTTGGTTCTGTTGTCTCTGTTTATTAGCATTGTGCATGCTTTAATCCATACTCTGATGATATCTCTCCTGTCCTTCTGCACCCAAACAGATATCCCCCATTTCTTCTGTGAACTGGCTCAGATCATCAAGCTAGCATGTTCTGATAACTTCAATAATTATCTACTCTTATATACAATGTCTGTTCTATTTTTTGGTGTGCCTGTCTTTGGGATCATTTTGTCTTATATTCACATTGTGTCCTCTGTTTTGAAAATGTCATCACTAGGAGGGAAGTACAAAGCCTTTTCGACTTGTGGGTCTCACTTGTCAGTGGTGTCCTTGTTCTATGGGACAGGTTTTTCAGTCCATCTTAGCTCTGCATTTACTAATTCTCCTAGGAAGACTGTGGTGGCTTCTGTGATGTACACTGTAGTCACTCAGATGCTGAACCCATTTATCTATAGCCTGAGGAACAGGGAAATGAAGGAAGCTTTCAAGAAACTCTTTGGCAAGAAAACATCTCTTCTATAGTATATCATCATTTGCATTTTACGTCAGTTTCCAGAATAAGAAAACTTTGAGGGTTCTATTTGAATCTTGACACCAGATCAATTTGTCACTTAAATTTCTATAGCAAATAAATAACGAACATAGGGTGTGCAGTTTTTCAAATATTTTATTTATTATTTTTATTTTATGTGTATGAGTGTATTCCCTGCATGTATGTAAGTGCATCCACGTCATGCAATGCTGCAGAAGTCAGAAGAGGGCTTCAGATTCCCCTGGAACTGGAGTTAAGGATGGTTTGTAGCCACCACGTGGGTCCTTGGAATCGAACCTGGGTCTTCTGCAAGACCAGTCAGTGCTCTTAGCTGCTGAGCCATCTCTCCAGCCATGGGTGTGCATTTTTACTTGATTTGAAACCAGATAATTCTGTATGGATAATTCTGAGATTTGATATATGCTTTTCAAACACAATTTATCTGTTTAGTTTCTTCAAAAGTAGAGGCTGCAGCTAGAGTTGTACTTTTATCAAATTTTATTCTAGACAAAGTCTAAGAAGAATGTGTGGAGCTTACGTTATCTGTGAAGAAATCTATAGTCATCTTTCAAGAATGCTTTCCATTAGACTGCATAGTTAGATTCCTGTGAGTTGTACCCTTGAAGTTATCTCTATGGAGACAGAAAGGACTGAGTTTTCATTTTATAGGAAAGCTAGAGTTGTACTTTTATCAAATTTTATTCTAGACAAAGTCTAAGAAGAATGTGTGGAGCTTACGTTATCTGTGAAGAAATCTATAGTCATCTTTCAAGAATGCTTTCCATTAGACTGCATAGTTAGATTCCTGTGAGTTGTACCCTTGAAGTTATCTCTATGGAGACAGAAAGGACTGAGTTTTCATTTTATAGGAAGATATTACCAATGCTTGTTTATTAAGTAATATTCTTCTAAAGAAATAATCATAACTGTAATATTCTTGGTGACTAATGCTAAGATTTTCTTGATTATATGAAATCAATTCTTCAAGATGATTTTCTGACATATCCATCTGACTTGTGAAGGTGTTGTCAATCCCATCAAAGAAAACAAGTTTCTAATATTAATATAGTCAAGGAAAACAGAGTTGTATAACATTGTCAAAGGTGAGACATTTCTGTGACAAAAAGTTGAATTTTGTTGCATGATTCTTGTCATCAACATGTCCTACAATTACTTCTCTACCAGGCAATCAGGTGATTAGAGTAAAATAGTTACAATAGTACACAGTGATGGAGACAGAGCACTGATGATGTTACACTCATAAAACTCATGCTTATTTTCACCTGTCTCCAAGATATCCCTATAGTGGATTGAATAGTGAGCCTCAAAAATTGTTTGAATTATGTCTCCAAACATTTTATTATTTCATGTAATGATTGTGCAGAGATTATTACCTTAGAATAAATTAGTTGGGTTTCTGAGTAGGTTCTAAATATTGTTTCCTTGCAAGGCAGGAAAAAGGATAGCAGAAAATGGTAAAATAAGCAGGTCACTGTAAATATAAATATAGATTTCTGTATTGATGCAACCAATATTAACTGATCAATGTACACCACTTTTGCAATGCAATTCTGTACCATTGTTAGGACACTAAATCCATGGATGACTCTATGACACTCGTTATGTGAATGTGGTTTTAGAGCTGTGAAAACAGAAACCAGACAAAAAAACCATTATTGACAGTGGAGATATGCATGAATACCCAACCCTAGGTGAGGATGCATTGTCAATTGATATGTTCTGGGAGAGGGAGAGCAAGTTTCCTTTAAGAGTGTGTCACCTGGTAGGTTGATCAGACTCCAAGGGTTGGTGCCACACTCAAGAGCTTTTGAGGGACCCATGTTAAACTAAATAGGCCTTTAAAACTTAAAAATAGGACATGTTTTTTAAAAATACATTCCCAGCTCTATTTGAGCTCACAATCCTTCTACTGTACCATTCAAGCTTCTGCTATTGTAGTGTGCACCAGCAAGTTAGCTCATTGCTTTTTTTGACATTATTACTTTTCAATCTTAATTAATTCCAAGTCCTCTTTTGATACTATTTCTTAGGCTTCAATATGAACCATGCTATCAGTATTTTCTACACAGTTTTTAAATTATAGGATTGGTTTATGATTTCTTTTACTAGCATAAAATATCTTCATGATTGCAAGACCTTGGTTTGAAGGAAACCAGGATGGCATGCTTTAGGGTGATATGGAGCTGAAACTTTTAAGATCAAGCTACAATCCCTGCTGACTTATGGGGTGCTGAAAACAGCAGTCATTAAATCCCTGTCTTGCAGAACACTGTGGGACTAGCAGGAGAAAAGTGGCCAGGTCAAAAGCTTAAGCAGCTTGCTCTGAGGACAAACATTTTGGTCAACAGCCCTTAGCACACCTCCTTGTCCTGGACAAATAACTCAGCTATCATTAGCTAAATGATTAGGCCAGGTTAAAGGCTTACTCCTGGGCTAAAAGCTAAAGTTTACTGTGTTTTAGCCCTAAGAAAGAAAACATTGTGGCCAATAAATTACCAGATAGGCACTGATAACCTTGAGTAAAAGTTCAAGCATCCTGCTTTACAAACAGCCCCTAGCTGGCAACAACTAAAAGCTAGATGTCCTGTTTCTTGTCTAATTGTGCCCTAAATCTTTGTATGTAAGTACCAAACCTCACGTGACTGCCAGTTCCTTGTAATGTGTAATAACCTTCTGAATTTTTAAAATAAAGGGATTGCTGTAAAGAAACACTATCCCCAGAGTCAGAACTCTGCACTGATTGGTATTGTTCTTCATGGAGGCAAGGCTCCCCTGCTGAGCAAAGCAGACTTGGGTCTCTAAGTCTAAGCTAGAAGCGATAACAAACAAACCTTAAAATGTTTTGTTAATGACAATGATAAATATATCTTGTATTGTGAATTAATGTCTTTTCTAATCTACATTTTTGAAATAATATCTTTGAACAGTAACCATAACTTTATGACATGTTGTATGTGGGCATGCCCCTATGTATGTATGTGTATATTCATATATGTACTTCTTTGAATGAAAAATTTACAAGTGATGTTCTAAAAATGGTGCAAAATAATGTAGAAATTGACTCAATTTTTTTCTACAGAAACTTTATTAGAAAATATTCTTTATAATATCCACACAGATTCAAATTTAACTAATCTTCATATGGAATCATCCTTAAATGTATCAATCAAAATAGTACATTATATTACTTGAATTTGTCATATAGGTGACTATATAAGTATATATAAACACAACTGTGGCCTTCTCTTTTTTTACTTTATTAAAGTACTAGATTTATTTCACATGTATATTTTTGTCTCCCCACTATTTCCATGTCTTACCTATTACTACAGCTGATCCTAACATTCCATAAATACTTAAAACCAGGTAAAGTGTGGAGTTTCACCCTTAGAAACTAAACAGGCATTTTAGACAACACATTCTTGGCAATGAAAGCTAGAAATTCTCACTTTACATGATAAAAAGGACAACCAGATGTCAACTGTTACAGAAACAAAGTAAGAGGGAATATTTCAAACAGTTTGAACAATTTTCTTAAAGAGACTTCCTTCACTGTCAGAGATCTTGAATAGCCTCTTGGTTAGTAATCTAGTAGCAATTCGTCACATAATTTCTGAACTTGTTTTCCACTTTGGGAAGAGAACCACCTTTTTCTTGCTTGCATTTTTGTTTTAATGCCTTCTACAGAACTAGGTACTTTTGGTGTTTTAGGAGCTTTTTTCCTGGTTTTTGAAAGATTCTTGGCCTTTTGATCTTGGTTTTCATGGTTTTAAGTATTTTCCATTCTTGTTTGATTTTTGTGCATTTTTTGCTAGAGGATCTTGGAAAGATTTCCTTACTGGAGTTTTTCTTCAATTTTCTCATCATCTAAACCATCATCATCATCATCGTCATCATCATTTTTCATCGTTGTCCTCATCATCTTCATGATCATGTTTTACTTTTTTCTGTGGAAACTTGCTATCACATCCAAGTGCAATTGATTTCCAGATATACTTAAGAGTTTTACATCCTTCTCCTTTTCATCTCCTGACTTTGCATCTTCCCCCATGGATACTAGGTGCTGTCCACTAATATGTACAAGCCCTGAACCACACTTCAACCTTAAGGCAACAGATGGTACAATTTCAAATCCCCCAAGGGAAACTGTTGGCTGTACAGACATTTTCAAAGTTGCCAGTGTTACCTTAATTGGATTGTCTTCATAATTCATTACCTCTGCCTCAATGATGTGTAACTCATCTTTTGCACCAACTCCTACACTGACTATTCTTAATGATAACTGGTGTTTATTTTCACCATTATTCACTTAAAGAGATAGTCTTTGTGAGCCTTTAGTTCACAGTTGAAAAGATAGTTATGTGGCCTCAGAGGGCTCATTTCCATGTCCATCCTGTCTACCATGAGGTGGAATCTCTCACTTTGTGAGAGAGACCAGATGTAGATGACTGAATACCATTCCTTACAATAAATGTGCAGAACTGAATCATGCCAGCCATGGTCATCTTATAACAATGATCGAAACTGTGTCCATCATCATTTCATTGATCGAGAATATAATTGTCAATGTAAGTATAAAAAGGAAGAAAAGTAAATACAAGATTGTGTCATTTTTATAACACATTACAGTTATACCAGAATAAAGAAACAGCCTCTCAGCATTCATTTTAAGACCAAGAGTAGAAAGAGTGGGCCCAAACTC